TAGAGTATAGGAATTTCAATTTTCACATTTAGTTATTGTAATCTATAGGCGAATCGAAGTTGTGGAGTAGTTAGGTCTACTGTATCTGCTCTGTATTATTATGTATTATTGTTTGTGGAATTAGAGCAATAATCTAATTGTATTTAATAACTGGTCGCAGTCCACCATAAAATCCTCTAAACTACCTTACAGCTATACGTATGCGTACCATTTTCAGCAGTATTTCTCCCTAGCGAATGTGCTGCACTTAAATGAATATATATATATATTTATATATATAAATATTTATATATATAAATATATATATATATATATATATATGTACTTTTGGTGATTGTTTCGTGTAGGTTTGATATGTACTTGAAAGACCGTGTTCCTCTTCCTCTAAATTATAACCCTTTGATGGTCTTCAATTCTGATTCTCGTCCTGAATATCATCATCAGTTGATACGTGGTGCGAATTTGATTATAAGCTCTTTGCGTTATTGGCGTTCGTTACTTGATGGCCAATTGGAACCGGAAGTTTTTCATATGAATCCAAAGAAAAGTGATACAGAAAGTTATCGCCAATGGATGCGTTTAACTCCACAATTTGTAGCTACATATGTCTCGTATGCGTTCAAAGCCTACCCTTTAGATATGAGCCAGTACGAGCGTTTGTTTGGCACTTCACGCATACCAGAAGCAGTTAAAGATCGTTTAGTACAGAATCCTAAGTCCAAGCACATCATTGTTATGAGACGTGGCAATATTTATGCGGTAGATGTGCTAGATTCACAGGGGAATATTGAGTCATCGAAAGAAATTTTGGGGCGCCTAAATATGGTCGTAAAATTAGATGAATCTAAAAAGTCAGCGGAGGTACCTTTGGGGATTTTAACCGCTGCAAATCGAAATGAATGGGCAGAGATCAGGAAGCATTTGATTAGCCATCAAGTAAATAATGATTTGTTAACGAATCAAATTGATAACGCTTTGTTTTGCGTATGTTTGGATACACCTGAAGATCCTGTTTATAGCGAGAATGATCCCATACCTTTATTAAAGCATTTCCTGGCTGGTAAAGCTACGAATAGGTAAGAATCGTATTTCATATATATACCTTTTTTAACATTTAGCTTTTCTTCAGATGGTTTGATAAATCCGTAAGCCTGCTTTTGGGCTCTGATGGAACTGCTGCAATCAATTTTGAACATTCCTGGGGTGATGGCGTAGCCGTTTTACGTTACTTCAATGAGATCTATAAAGAGACAGTCAGTAAACCCTTTTTGAGTACTCAAGACTTACAATCCTTGCCTAAAATAGACTCCAGTAAAGTGCGTTATCTAAGCTTTGCAATCGACGATAAATTACGTGCTGGGGTTACCAATGTGCAACGTAAACACAACGATAATGTTGAGTCTCTGAATACGAGTTTTCTACGTTATCCTCATCTCTCTAAAGAGATCTGTAAACGGCATCGCCTCAGTCCAGACTCTATTATGCAACTCTCATTCCAATTAGCTTTTAGGCAAGCGTTCAACAAATACGTAGGCACCTATGAATCCTGTAGCACTGCGGCGTTTAAACACGGGCGCACCGAGACCATGCGACCCTGTACCAATAAAACCAAAGAATTTTGTGAAACTCTATTAAATCCTAATAGTCAAAATGATTTTAAACGCTTGAGAACGTTAATAGATCAATGCTCCACCTACCACGGACAATTAACTAAAGAAGCTGCCATGGGCCAGGGCTTCGATCGTCACTTGTTTGCCTTAAGGCATATGGCGCAAATCAACGACAGACCCTTACCGCTGTTGTATAATAGTGAAGCTTATAAACTTATTAATTACAATATCATAAGTACTTCTACATTGGGTTCAGAAGCTTTATTATTAGGAGCTTTTGGTCCGGTTGTACGTGATGGTTTAGGTGTTGGGTGAGTAAACTCATTATTGCAATAATATAATAATTTTTTCTTTTAAAACAACATTTTTGCAATCCCTCCCTAACAGTTACTCAATGAAAAGCGACATGTGCGGGGCTTTTGTCACTTCATATAAAGACGGCTGCAACGGCAGAGAATTTACTAACAGCTTGGAAAAGGCTTTTGATCGTATATGCAAAATTATCGCTGAAAGTAAATAATTGCTGCGAAGATAATAATAGTCTGCATTTAAAATTATTTTTATGTTTTCTCGTAACGGATTCATTCATATACATAATATATTCAAGATATTTCCTATAAGCTTTTCTTTTGAACGCCCAGAACTTTTAAGATTTTATTTTGAAAATTTTCCATTTTATAATATTCTAAGTCGAAATAAGTAAATACATTTTTATTATTATGTAAAATTCTAACACATTCAATCGAAAAATATACGATTTTATGAACGCAAACGGTAACCTCATTAATACAATTTCTTGAAAGTAAGTTTATAAAACGTACTTTTCGCATTTAAAAATTTAATCTTTTCGCTTGCAAACTACTAAGATTAAGTTAAATACCGCTATTGCACTTGGATGATATTTGTTCGCCAAATATAATTGCGTGTAACTTTTCGAAATTCTAAGAAAAAGTGGAGGAAAGATAAATCATCCACAAGACAAACTCTTATTTTATGCCGCAAGTCCCAGTAAATGAGACAGTAATGAAAATTGGTTTACAGAAGGCATACGCTTTCATTAAAAATGTAGCCTTGTCTAATTGCGATCTTTCGCCTTCTAAACCAAATCCCGGATAAAAGGAAGCAGCTTTTTTTATTTGTCTTATTGAAAACCTGAATACTTTTTTCTCTTATCTTGATAATATTTGTTGAGAGGGATCAATTTTGATTCTGATTATATACCAAGTTTTTTTATTGTATTTATTATTGGTTAAAATG